AACGTGCGCAAGTGGTTCAAATTGATCAATTAAACGGTAGACGAACTACATACCTTGTTAAGTATGATAACGAACCTGATGAAGTATGGTCATTTCCTTTATTAATTGATTTTGAAAAAGGTGATCTTATTCTTTGTAGCTAGGATTGCAAGGTAATTTTATTTAATGTAAATTTAGAATAATGTTATAGTATATATTAATCTTATTTCTTTTATTGTTATGTTCCAATTAAGTGTTTTTACTGAATTTGATTCTGTGGTTTTTATCTTTATAAATAGTAGGAATCATATCTGATATGTTTATCTGTACCAATTTTATTTATTTGTTGTTGTTTATTTGCAGCTTAACTGCACATTATTATTATTAAATAATAAAAAAAAAAAGCTTATGCAAAAATACTATTACTTTTACTTATCAAGTAAAGGAAAGAATCCAGAAATGGAAGGCTAACCTTAGGCTAATTTACTATTACTTTTACATGAACTGCCTATCAAGTAAAGGAAAGAATCCAGAAATGGAAGGCTAACCTTAGGCTAATTTACTATTACTTTTACGTGAACTGCCTATCAAGTAAAGGAAAGAATCCAGAAATGGAGGGCTAACCTTACGCAACATGACAGCTCACTGATGGAGTGCAAAGTCCTATGGCTTACCTTCTCGTTGGTGCACTTCGTTAAGTAATTTAGACAATTTTGTCTAATTTATGAACGGAATAGCCAAGGCAAATTATGTATAAAATTGTTTGTTGACAATACACACAAAGCCTACTCTTGCAATTCGATAATTAAAATATTTTTTAAGTAAATTTACAGATATGATGTCTGCAAAGTTTTGAATGAATTTTAAAAATTGAAATTTCTGTGTTCAAATAATTTGCAACATATAGTAAAACTTGGGTACATTACTAGTGCAATAATTTATTTACTATTAAAAAATTTAAGACAAATAGATAGGTAAGATAATCCGTATAAGTATTTCCATGACTGTTAGTCTACCTTATTATGACTGTTTATTTCCATGACTGTTAATCTATGTTAATTCCATATCTGTTAATCTATGTACTCTCAATTTCCTAATATAAGAGGGAGGGGTAATAAAAGTGTGGGTGGGGTTGGGGAGTTTAGTCAAGATTTAATAAACCGGGGGGGGGGGTCAGAATTTACACTGAAAGTTTTATTACTTATCAGTAACTAGTATATATTTTTTAATTTTTAAAGCTGATTTTCACTGATTTTTTTTTTTAGCTTTTAGATATCATTTTTTTGTTAATAACAAGTAAAAATTAATAAACGGGAGGGGGGTCTTAATAAGCTTAGGGTGGGTGGCAAAGTTTCTCAAAAATTAATAAACCCCTCCCCCCCCCTCCCTTCAATTATGGACTCGAGAGTATACAATCAAATAAAGCCAAACACAATAAAATAGAACAATTCAACGAGTTTTTCATTCATTGTTTTCAAAATTTTCAAAAAAGTAAGAAGCCCTAATCCCATTTAAAAAAAAGTTTTAATATTATCGTAGGTACTGAAAACAATAAATAAGTCAAAACAGTAGACTATAAGCGGTTAAATCTCTTTTTGAATTTATAATAATACTGAAATTATTAACAAGTTGTTGACTAAAATCTTTTTTGTTTGTGTAAATATAAATTTTAGATTTATGTTTATTTTGTACGTATTTTGACGTTTTCGGCCTGTTTTATTTGGGTCCACGTTGTTCATTTGATAATTTATTAAAGAAAAATAAAATTAATTTATTTAATAAAAATAATTTAAGTTAATATTTATCATCAAAATTTTGTTACGCTTAACGTATTATAAGTTAAAACATTTGAAAATTTATTTTGCACAAAAAAATTTAAAACATATTCAAACATATTATACTGTTAATTGACTATTTCATGGTACGTCTGCGTTAATTCACCAAAAAATTTTACTTACGAATTGTTCAATTTTGTTCAGTTTGGATTTACAATTTAATTTCTAATAAAATTTTATTATAAGTTAGTTTACGCAACTTTTTACGCAAGAAAAAAAAACATAAAAAAGTTTTTTTTGGAGGCCAAAAATTTAACGAGAAAAGAAAATATTTCATAAAAAGTCTATGAATTGAAAATATTTAAACACGTATATCTTTGGAACTAAATAAGCTACAGAGGTGGTTAAAACCATTTTGAAAATGAAATATAATAAGGAATATAATGCATTTAATATAAAAAATATTTACATTTGCTATAAATATTCTCTAACTCTCTAATTCTCTAATACAGGGCCGGTGCACCCTATAGGCGAACTAGGCAATCGCCTAGGGCGCCAAAGTTTAGGGGCGCCTAAAAATTGATAAGTTTTTTTATATGCTAACAAAAAACAACGCTTTTGCTCATTGAGCAATATGTACGTACATTTTACCGAACGCAATCTAAATCATAACAAATATGGCGGCGTCTTTACAATCAAAGTGATTTTCATAACAACTTTCAATAGTTAGTCGACTATATTCTTTATATAATTTATACTGACAATATATATATATATATACATATAGATGAATAGTGACATTCTATATACTATTATACATTTATATTAAGTTTTAGACATTAAGAAAAGTAAAATATTTTTTATATGAATATATAATAACTAGCTTAAATCTAGGACTATTATATATTACGTATTATATTATTATTATACTTCACCATACGTATAACTTTGCTATACAAAATAAAATTTGAATTATTTAAACACAATGCATCTAGCAGGTTAAATTTTTTGTTGAGTTGCTTCTACAATATGTCTTGATCTGCACCAGCTAATTACACATTGAAATCTCATTCATATAGCTAACTTCCATTTCCGTTTAAAAAAACACAAAAAATACTAGCAGGTCGTATAACTTTGCCAAGTTGTTTTTTGTATAATACAGTTAAATGATAACTTGTTAAAACCTTACAGAGCTGTTCAGACCTGTTGGAAACTATAGCTAGCTATATATAATTTATTCTTGAAGCCAATCACAGAAGACCTATTAATGTATTAGTTAAACATCGCAACATTCATTTATTTTATTATTTTCTTGTTACATTGTGGTGGACAGATTCCCACTGATATGGAAGCTGAAGAAATATCTAATGTTGTTGATAATGATAATGTGATGATGAGTGAAACACTTTCTTACTTAACAGTTCCCGTTTCCCATGCAGATAATGGCCAATTGAATAATTCTCTCGAGGAACATGTACAGCAAGCAAGTGAAGAAAAAACGGATAATGTTATTCCACAGGATCCAGCACTTTGGCCTCTACTAATTAATCATAATACACGTGCAATCATTGTAGAACGTGGACCTCAGCAAATAAAAGATATCAGTTTCCCAAATGATAAGAACAATCGAAAGTTTTCAGTATTTCACTACTTAAGAAAACTTCCTAATGGAGAAGAATTATGTCGCAGCTGGCTCTTGTATTCAGTATTAAAAGACTCAGTGTTTTGTTTCTGTTGCAAACTGTTCAGTATGAAAGCAATTGGCATATCATCACTAACTCATACAGGTTCAAGTGACTGGAAAAACAAGGCGGCAATTCTTTCTTCCCACGAGAAAAGTCCTGAACATTTGCAGAACTATCAAAAGTGGAAAGAACTACATCAGCGATTACAGAGGGATAGTACAATAGATGCAGAAATTTTGCGCAAGATGAAGAATGAAGAAAAGTATTGGCAGCAAATACTAAAGCGTTTAATAGCATTAGTGAGAGTTTTGGGTGAACAGAATCTAGGTTTTCGCGGTACAAATGAAACATTGTACAGTGCCAATAACGGGAATTTTTTAAAATTTGTGCAATACTTAGCCATTTTTGATCCATTAATGAACGAACATCTACGAAAGATATCAAATAAAGAGCTTCATACACACTATCTTGGCAAAGATATACAAAATGAACTTATTCAACTGTTAGGAAATGCTATTAAGAAAGAAATCATACAAACAGCAAATGCAATGAAATATTTTTCAATAGTTCTCGATGGTACTCCTGACTGTAGCCATGTTGAGCAAATGACAATAATTATTCGTTTTGTTAAAGTTGATTCATTGAAAAAGGAGTTTAGTATCAAAGAACATTTTTTAGGCTTTGTACCTTTAAAGAAAACAACTGGAGCCTATATGGCAGAAACGATAATACAACAACTAGAAGAAATGGAGTTACCTATTGATAATTTACGTGGCCAAGGCTACGATAATGGCGCAAATATGATAGGCAAAAATAATGGTGTTCAAAAGAAAATATTAAACATTAATCCTCGAGCATTGTTTGTTCCTTGCAGCTCGCATACTCTTAATTTGGTTGTCAATGATGCTGCAAATTGTTGTCTAATGGCTACAAGTTTTTTTGATATTGTCCAACGTGTGTATGTATATTTTTCGTCTTCAACACATCGGTGGGTAGTTTTCACTAGTCATAAACCTACGTTAACTGTTAAGCCTCTAAGTGAAACAAGATGGGAAAGCAGAATAGATGCTATAAAGCCTTTGCGATATGAACTTGGTAAAATATATGATGCACTGCTAGAAATAGCTGATGATACTTCTCTAACTGGATCCTCAGTGATGCTAAAGCACTTGCGAATAGTGTTGCAAAGTTTAAGTTCGTGGTTTCAATTGTTGTATGGTACAACATACTTGAAATCAATATAACAAGTAAGCAGCTCCAAGCTAAAGATTTGGATATTCATGCTGCTGTACAACAGTTACAACACACACAAGCCTATTTGGTTGACTGTAGGAGTGACATAGGTTTTGCAAGAATGCTAGTGGATGCTGCTGAAATTGCTAAGGATTTGGAGATACCACCAACCTTTGAGGCAGAACCATGATTACGGCGGAGAAAAAAGCAATTTGCATATGAAGCTGAAGATGAGCCTGTGCAAGATCCAAAACAAAATTTCAAAGTGAATTTTTTCTTTGCTATACTTGACACAGCAATAAGGTCGGTTGAAGAAAGGTTTGAACAAATGAGAACAATTGAATCAATTGTATTTGGTTTCTTATATCATATTCATGGTCTACAGAGTAAAACTTCACAAGAAATATTGGAATGTTGCATGAAACTAGAATCTGCTTTACAACATGGTGATAACAGAGATTTAGTTGCATCAGATTTGTGTGGCGAACTACAGTCTATTGCACGACGACTTTCTGAAGAAACAAAGTCTCCTCAAGATGTTTTTCGATTTATTCTTTGCCAAAACTTGGAAGACAGTCTACCCAACCTTTGTATTGCTCTTCGTATTTTGCTGACATTACCTGTTTTTGTCGCTAGTGGAGAGCGTAGTTTTTCCAAACTAAAAATGATAAAGACATACATTCGATCATCCATGTGCCAAGACAGATTGGTTGGGTTGGCAATTCTTTCCATTGAGCACGAACTTGCAGACAAGCTGGACCTGAAGGACCTTGTGATCGATTTTGCCCAGAAAAAGGCACGCAAAGTACAGTTTTGATATTTTTAAATAAATACTTACCTGGTGTTTTCACTTTATTTTGCATTTTATTTTGATTTTTTTACGTAAAAGGGGTGCGACCTTTGAAGTTTTGCCTAGGGTGTCATAACCCCTTTGCACCGGCCCTGCCTATATATATATGGGTGTTGTGAACATCGTGGTGAACAGACGCGTTTTTCTTACAGTAAAATAATTTAAAATTTTTTTTATCTTGTCTAATAAAATTTGGAATGTCTAAATCAGAAGAATTAGTCTCAATTTCTATGATGAGAGAACTTCTTAATATTCAAAAAGAAACAATTTTTATCTTTTTTCCGTGAATCACTATTTAGCATAAACGAAAAGTTTGAAAACTTTTAATCTAGTTTTCAAGAAGTTCGGCGAGAACTTCTTGAAAACTAGATTGAAATCTGGCTTAAATTTTGTAGATTGAAATCTGGCTTAAATTTTGTTGGAGATGTTTTCAATGATAAAGCTAGAGCAGTCGAGAAAAAAATTAAAAAAGTTCATGACGATTTATCAAATGTAAGTAAAATGCAGGGTAAAATATCTTCGGACAATATTGAATTAAAATTAAAAAGCGTCGATATTGAAGACCGTAACAGAAGAAATAATTTAAGAATTGACGGGATCGTTGAAAATAGTGAAGAAAAAGATTGGGAAATCACAAAAAAAAAGGGTAAAACAACTATTTAAAGATAACCTTGGTATTGAAAAAGACATTATAATTGTACGGGCTCATCGAGTGGGAGCAACTAATGATAAACGAGAGCGAACAATCGTCTTGAAACTCCGTGATTACGAGGATAAAAAAACAATTATGGAGAGAGCAGTTAAATTAAAAGGAACCAATATTTTTTTAAACGAAGATTTTAGTTTTACAACTCGAAAAATTCGAAATGAACTTTTTGATCAGGCGAAGATTCATCGTCAAAATGGCTAATTTGCGAAAGTTGTTTACAACAAACTTATTGTTCACGAATTTCGAGAAAATACCCGCAACACAGATGTTAATCCTACGTGCGTCAACGAGTAAGCATTTTGAGTACTTTTTTTTTTTTATTATATTGAATATTTTTAAATTAGTTATTTTCAAAAAAAAAACTAAAAAATGGCGTCGCTTTTTTCAGAGAAATTAGATTTTCATAATTTAAATTTAGATCTTTTTGAGGCAACTTTATGAATAATCTATCAACTCAAATCAACTTAATTAACACACCGTATATTGATCCCTTTGATTTTAAAGTAAAAACAGATGATTGTTCATTTTCTGTATTACACATAAACATTAGAAGCATGCAGCAAAATTTTGATAAACTTAAAGAATTTTTAAATATTTTAAATTACACGTTCGACGTCATATCTCTTTCAGAGACTTGGCATGATACAGAAAGTACTCTTGAATTAAATTCTAATTATACTTTACCATTTTACAAACTAGTTAGTCAACCACGAGGTGGTGGGAAAAAAGGAGGAGGATTAGGAATTTATGTCTTGGAAAAGTATGCTTTCAAGATAAAAAGCATACTATGCTTTTCTAATAATAATTATGAAAGTCTTTTCATTGAAATTATTAATAAGAAATACCGAAACGTTTTAGTTGGATGTGTTTATCGTCCACCGAGTGGAAAAATAAAAACCTTCGAAACTTTTATCAAAAATACGAATATAAAAATAAATAAAGAAAATAAAACATTATATATTACTGGTGACATAAATCTTGATGCTCTTTCTAAGACAAAATTTCCAAAAATAAAATCTTTTTTTGATATGCTTTTTAAATTGAATGTCTTGTCAACTATTAATAAACCAACGCGACAATATTTTTATTAATAATTATTTAGAAACGACATTTGAAACCGGTATATTTATGACAGATATTAGTGATCATTTCCCGGAATTCATAAAAACAAAAAATCTAAAAGCAATGACTGATTGTCATTCAAAAATCATACATTTGAAAAAACGAAATTTAAAAATGAGTAACACTAATAAATTAACAAATAGACTAAAACAAGAAACATCGAACAACGTATATAAATGTCAAGATACGAATGGAGCTTACAATGCTTTTTTAAGTATATTTTTGGAGTACTTTAATGAAACCTGGCCTCAAGAGAATATAAGAATTAAGTCAAAAGCAATTGCTAATCCGTGGATGGATAAATCGTTATTAAAGTGCTCAAAAAAAAAAGCAAAAACTTTACAATAAATTTCTGATAAATAAAAACAATGATAATGAAAAAACTTACAAAAATTATAAATATTTTTACCAAGATCTCATTAAAAATGCAAAAAAAAGTATTACAGTAATCAAATTAACAAATGCAAATTTGATTGCAAAAAAACATGGTCCATCATCAATGTCATAATGGGAAGAGAAAAACTTAATTTACTTTCTCTACCTAAACAAATTGTTATTGAAAACAACGATATATTTAGCCAAAAACAAATTTTGGAAGAATTTAATAAATATTTTACAAGTATTAATCCAAATCTTGTAAAAAAAATAGTACCAACATCTGTATCATTTAAAACCTTCCTTAAACCAACGAATAATTTTATCATGCTTGATTATGAATTAACCTATGAGGAATTTGAGGCAGCTTTTTCCTCGTTAAAAAAAAAAAGGCTCCGGGATTTGATGAAATATCTAGTAATATAGTTATTGCAAACAAACACAGTCTTAAAAGACCTCTAATACATATACTAAAGCTTTCGTTAAATTCTGGGTAATTTCCGGATGTACTTAAATTAGCAAAAGTAACTCCAATGTACAAATGTAATGATCATTCTGACATTACAAACTACAGGCCTATATCAGTACTTTCTGTATTTTCAAAACTATTCGAACGTGTAGTTTATAATAGAATCTATGATTACTTCATTAAAAACAATTTTTTTTACCCAAATCAGTTTGGTTTTCAAAAAAATCTCTCTACTGAGCATGCAATCATTGAAATAGTAAATCAAATAACTAATGGTTTTGAAAATAATAAATTTACTTTAGGAGTATTTCTTGATTTATCAAAAGCATTTGATACAGTGGACCACTGTATTCTCTTAGATAAATTAAGACATTACGAAATAGTTAATAAAACTTATTATTGGATTAAAAGCTATCTTACAAACAGAAAACAATATGTAAATAATGCCCAATCTGGAGTGTTAAATGTCGTATGTGGAGTTCCGCAAGGATCGATTCTTGGTCCACTTCTTTTTTTAATATATATAAATGACTTCTGTAATGCATCCTTAAAACTTAATTCAGTCATGTTTACAGATGACACGAATTTATTTCTTACTAACAACGATATCAAGAAATTATATGCGGACATGAATATTGAACTAAATAAAGTAAATAACTGGTTTAAGGCTAACAAACTCTCACTTAATACCGAGAAAACAAACTATATACTTTTTTATAAAAAAACACAAGAAGAAAATCTTCCTCTCAAGTTGCCGAACCTATTTATAAATGACAAATTAACTAAAAAGCAATCCAATATAAGATTCTTGGGAATCGTTGTTGATGAAAAATTATCCTGGCTTCCTCATATAATATATATCCAGTCAAAAATTACCAAAATCATAGGTTTAATGTATCGAGTTCGCTCGTACATTAATACAAATAGTTCTAAATTAATCTACTTTGGGCTAGTTCACAGCCTCATCAGCTATGCAAACATTTTATGGGCAAGTACTCAAACAGCAAAGCTTAAGAAACTTTATAGTTTTCAGAAACATGCCTGTAGAATTATTTACTTTAAAAATAGGCGGGAACACGCTAATCCCTTGATGAAAGATATGAAAATGATGAATGTATTTGAAATAAATATCTACCAGCATTTAATTTTCATGTATCGTTACAGTCACAATATCTCTCCTATAAGCTTTAATATTAAGTTTGAGTTAAATAATAATGATAACTATAATCTTAGAGCGAATATGTTGAACACATATAAACTGCCAAGGATAATAAATAAATATTCAAAATACAGCATTTTTTATAGAGGTCCAAAGGTATGGAATATTTTTCAGAAAGAGTTCAAAGGTAAGGTGAGATCGTTAAGTTCATTCAAGTTTTTAACAAAAAAAGAAATCTTTAAAACCGGTGAAACATTTTTTGTTAATAATGCTTTGGATAAATTCTCTTAAATAAGTTTTTGTTTTGTTTCTACTTTTGTTTGTTGCTTGACAATTTTTATTAGCGGATTACGCATTTTGTTATGATATTTTATTGACATTTTTATTTTGTATGTCATATTACGATATTTTAATTAAATCTTGTTAAAGGGTTCTATGAAAAGATTGCGATGACGTTCTGTCATCCTCATCTTCTTTGAGTCCCTATCTGTTTTACTTATTTGTTAAATTTTATATTATGTAGTAGAATCTGTAAAATTCTTATGTTATGTAAACAGAGAAAAAAAAAAAAAGAAAAAGAAAAAAAAAAAAAAAAAAAAAATGTATATATATATATATATATATAATATATATATATATATATATATATATATATATATATATATATATATATATATATATATATATATATATATATATATATATATATATATAAGGCCGGCGCGATAGGGGATGTAGGGGTGTGACCCCCCCCCCCAGTTAGTCGGCAAATGTCGACCCTTTCGATATAGGTTAGTTGGTAATTTAGACAGTTAGTCGGCAAGTGTCGTCATGGCAGTCGATCTTTTTTTTTTTTTGGTCGGCAAAAGTTGTAATGGTACCCCCCCCCCCCCCCACGTGACACCTACTCGCGCCGGCCCTGAATATTTATTTAAACTTTACATTATTAATTTAAAGTTTTATATATACTTATAATGACTTGAAAAAACTTTTTGTCATTAAATATTTTTTAAAGTCATTATATGTTTTAAAATTAAAAGCTGCTAAATAGAAAGTTCTATCTGGTATATTTTAGTTTATAATGGAAGTGTTAGATAAAAGTAATGTTCATTCCATCGTTAGATGTGTTTTTATTCATCAAGAAAAAGAGTTTGCTGAGCCAGCTGCTGAATTGGTAGCATTACAATGGAATCACAGCAAATCGGAAAAAAATCGAAATCTTGAAAAGATGTTAAATGAATCAAATGATCGATTACCTTGTCATCTTGTTTTAACTTTTAAGGACTCTAATAAATCAGTTGTTGCCCATGTGAAAATAGTTAGAGCAAGTGGAAGAGGTGACGGACAGTGTGCAATATTTTATTCTCTTGTGGTAGCACCAAACATGAGAGGATTGGGACTTGGTAGAATTTTAACAGAGTATGCAGAACATTATGTTCGCTCTTTAAATATTGCATATGTATATGTATCAACTCCTGATATGGTAATAAAAATTACAAATTTTTAAAATTCAAAAATTAAACATTGGATTCATAAGATTCATTACAAAAATAAGTAATAAGTATTTACATAAAATCTAAATTTGTTTGATTAATTCAGTAAAAACTACATAGTATACATTATTATTATTGAAATTTCCATACTGCATTTCTTCAGAATTTGGTTTAATTTTAACTTCCTTCAACACTATGACATTTTTAGTAAAAAATAAGCAGCATAATCTGCAAAATAAAAATAATATCTAAAAAATTGATTTAAAAGGTGCTAGATAAGCCTGATATGTAAAACTCTTTTCCTTTATTTTTCAATCCTTGATCATTTTCCCCTGAACTTTAATTACATCCCCTCTTTTCATTTAATGTTATATTCTTTGAGTAAAATTTAATTTGTTAATTTATAACTTCTTTTTTTTGTGCAAAATAAGATTGAAAAATAATCTTTGGAGTGTTATTTTGTTTTATTTTGTGAAATCTGAAATTTAGAGTGTTATGTAAATTTTCTATATTATTTTTATTTAGTTATGTATATCTTGTTTATAGTTTCATTATTACTTATTTTATGAATAATTATTTTTAATATACATATTTTAATTCATTAAATTTCATTGTTTTGTTTTAATTTTGTTTTTTGTTTTTATTTTTTTGTATATTGTTTTATTATTTTGTATTTTGTTTTATTAGGCATTGTTTTATGAGCATATTGGTTACAAGCGTTGTGACCCAATATCCTCAATGAAAAGTAGTTCAAAGCAACTTAGTGCATCACAAGTTTCTTCTCTTGAAGAATTGTTTGCAAAACGTGCCAACATAACAGTCTCAAATGAACTAAATATTTGGCTTCGGAAACGATTAATAGATGAATATGATATAAGTGAAAGTTTCAGTTATAGTGAATTATCTAAAATCATAAAAGAAGCATTGCTTGAAAAAAGTAATGCTGAAGATTTTATTTGTTTTTTTATTGAAACAAAATGGCAACAGCAAATTGGACCATCTTGTGGAATTTCGGCTATAACTATGTTAAATACAATTAGTCACATAAAGCGTAGCAATTTTTTAGACAGTTCACTTTTATGTGGTTGTGCTTGTATTTTAAATGAATTAAATACAGAACCAAAATCTTGTCTTGAATGGGCATTAAAGTCAGGTATCAGCAATGATGGAGAGATATTTTGTGCATACAATTTGGTTTATTTAGCTGAAAAGTGTTTTCAAATTCCATTAGTAGTTAGTAATATTACTGAGACGACAAAACATGACATATTACATAATATTTTGCGTGGAAACCCTGTTATTATTACTTATGATCGTAGTTTATCTAACCATGTTCCAGGGTTTTATCAAGGACTGCATGCTCATTGGACTCTTGTTGTAGGTTTTGTGGTACCAAAAGACTCATTAAAGGATTTCTATAAAAATCCAGTTCATGTTGAAATGATTAATGAGCATCATTTTATTAGTTTATTTAAATTTTCTTTAGATTTTTTGATGACTGATACTAAACAATGTTTTCAAATTTTTGATTCTAACTCTTTGTGGGTAGTTTGTGTCCATGGCATGTCCTCTCATCCATTTGTGTGTTTGTTGGATACACTTCTTGATTCCAACAGACAACTAACTATGTGCAATTCACCTTTTTTTTTAAGTCATTCTAACCTAATCCATTTAAGAAACAAAATAGTTTATACTAATAATTAGTGCTTTGAGTTCTTATTTAATTTACCAGCTGCCACCACATTAACTACTTGTTAATGTAAGGCAGCAGGTAAAGGAGGAGGATGGCGATATTTAACTATTTTTAGAAAATATTGAAGTAGATAAAATATATGCAAAATTTAAGATGAAGAAAAATTTCAAGAATCTTTTGAATTCTACCAATTCTTGAGGAAACATTTGAAATATTATGGACCCTACAAAAAAATTAAAATAAAAAAATTTAAAAGTTAATCTGGACTTATAAAATGCGAAAATTTTATGCTGCAATCTGACAAGTAAAAAGTATTTAAATAATGCATAAATAAATTATACTAATTTAAAAAGATCCAGTTTGTTTTTTGCAATTTTTTCGTACGTTGTTAATTTTTTTTTTTTTTTAACGTTAACGTTGTGTTTAGTTTGTTACTTTTTGTTTTGGTATTTATAATCTAATGGTACTTGGTAATCCTGCTCAATCCGGAAATTCGGGAAAAAAAAATTTTTTCTTAACTGAAAACAAAATAGTAATAATTAAAAGTATGGTGTATTATAAAGTATGTATGTATAAGTATAGTATAATGGCTGATGGGGATTCTATTTTAGTAATTTTTTGATTTCACAGTAAGATTTCGTATAAAGCAAATATTTCACTATTTTTAAATGCGATTATTTGGTAAAGTTACAGAAATAATCTTAAAACATATTCTCAAAGCAAATTTTCTTAAAAACGCAGTATTAAATCAAATATTAATTGGTTCAAAAACTTCCATCGATTGGAATGAAATCAAATCGGTCAATGAAATTCAACGCCGATTAATCAAAAATTATTTGACAAATCTTTAAACTTTTTTGCACGCGTAAGTTGTTGCTTGATTGAAATGGTAATAAGTATTGGTTAAGATTGTTATCGGATTAAAATAATAAAAAATTAAATCGAAAAAACGTTTTAGAAGCTTTCTTTCAAAATTCTTTATTGTCACAAGTTGACATTTCAAAATTGACCGGCGTTTCTCGATCCTCAGTTAAATTTAATTTGTAGTAAATAAACAGAATCAATCTATTGAAAGAGAATTTGTGAGTAAAAAAAAGGATTTAAAGATAAATATATAGCAAAATCTATCGTTCGCTCAAGGCAATTCCGTGTCAGTTGCAAAGAAATCTTGCAAACAACTTTAAATGCAGGATTGATAGGAAAAGTAATTTGATTTCAAGAATGTCGGGAAAAAATTCAAGGATATACAAACTGAAAAATTTGCTCCTAAGTTCCTTATATGGCAAGCAATATGCTATTGTGGTTAGTAAAGTACACCATAAATTACTCGTAAAACTGTGAACGCGGATTTGTATTTAAAAGAACGCTGCGTCAAGCGCAACGGTACCACCGCTTTATTTTTTTCTTTAAGTCACCATAGTGGTTTCTGATTGGTTAATATTTTTTTCTTTTATTTAAAGAATGCATGCCTAAACTAAAACCCTTAATTGATATGTGCGCTCCACTGCGCCTATCCTTAAATCAGTCTATATATGTATACTCACTGCGTCTATCCCTATATCAGTCGATGTATGTAAATAATAAAAATCAATGTAACTTTCAATATACAACAATAACGATAACTTTCAATAAAAAATAGTTAAAAAACATTAAAATTTTTTCTAAGTGAAGAACTCGATCACCGCGGAAGATAAAACGGGGAGATACCTCAATGCTAAACGTGTAATGTAAAGTTATAATTCTTTTTAAATTTGTACATATAAAACTTTCAAAATCAACTAATAATATTCGCAGCCGTGACTTAAAATAAATCAATCAAACTTTACTAACGTGACTTTAAGATGAAAAATTAAAGCAACGGCACCGTTGCGTTAGACTCAACGTTAAAAGAATGCTTAAAACAACGTTATTTTTCTATTTATTAAAAAGCATGAAATGCCCAGAATACTTTAGCTTAAGTTAGCTACAAGCCACTACTTGAAGAGTATTTTAGCTTAAATTAGCTACAAGCCACTACTCGAAGAATATTTTAGCTTAAGTTAGGTACAAGCCACTACTCGAAGAATATTTTAGCTTAAGTTAGCTACAAGCCACTACTCGAAGAATATTTTAGCTTAAGTTAGCTACAAGCCACTACTTGAAGAAGCCTTTAGAATAGTATCAACAAAATAACGTCAAACTTGTACCAAAGGAAGGAAATTCCCCAAAGTGTTCTGAGCAGTGAGTTATTGAAAGTTATTTGTCAATTATAAAACGAATCTTGCTCAAAAGCAAGAAATTAGCTTTAGGTAAAAAGAAAAAATGAGTAGTAGCACTAAAAAACTTAAAGCAGGATCCAGCAGATGATGTCGAGTACTTGCAAAAATACATAAATTGTTCAATTAGTTTAATTGTATCAAAAAATAAAATCTGTTACGTAGTTTCCGAGTAATTAAAATTTAAAGGGTGGTGAATTTTATCTCGCTCAACAGATAAGAAGTGGCTGTCATCGGCAACATCATTTTCTTCATCTACTTTTTCCACATCCGCAAAATGAGTCCCGTGACATGCAGCACGTGAGGAAATGCAGGGCAGTCCCATTCATATGCAGCAAAATTACTTCTAACATTTTTTTTTTTTGAAATTTAAAAAAAAAGAAAAAAAAAAGTAATTAGTACAAAGAAACTTGCATGCATGCCTTTTAATAATATTAAAAGGCATGCAGGCAAATACGCATAATCCTGAAGCTTTCCTTTTATACCAGCATATACCTTGAAATATGTGAATAATTCTTATAAACCATAATTTTTTATTATATATTAATAATAATAATAATAATAATAAAAGAATTGCAGCAATAACAAGTGGCACAATCATTTTCTATGATTGTCAAGACGATAATGACAAACCTTTAATTAATGGATTGTTTAACAGTAGCAATCAAGGGATAAATTAAGTGATCGCGAATTGAAAATTCCGTATAAAATTCTGGTCTTTTATTTTTATTTTCTTTATTTATTTATTTTTGTCAAGCAACCATTTACAATTAAAGTTAATTTCCGATAAAATGCTTAAAAATATTAAATACAAGTACATTTCATTATTTATAGTAGTTACGAGACCCAAAACCTGAAGAAGATAAGATAAAATCTTATCATTAGTAACCTTTGGTAATAAAAAATGGAAATAAAAGTGTATTGTTAGAAAAAATTATGTAAAGAATCTTGATTGGCAACACCTTGGTCTTTAAATTTTTAGTTTCTTAAAAAACCGTGAACTCAGTTTTTATGGATTTTAAAAATCAACTATAGCTAATTTCATTAAGACTCTCATAACTTACATGCTTAAAATAATACTTTTATAAAACAGCCGTTAATCTAGCTAGAGTAACCACTGTATTATGTATTTACATAGCAGGGTAATTACAAATACAGGAAAAGAAAAAGCAAATGCAGGATTCAAATACTTAATGTTATATGACAAAAATTTATGGAAATATAAATAAGTTAAATAAAGTACATTAAATAACAACTATATAAGACTTTGATGTAGTTGATATTTATTTATGTAGCTTTGATGATCAAAGCTACATCAAACCACTAACTTCATCACACTACAAACTTCTAATGTGTTTACAAATATAGGAAAACATTGTTACTAGCGTTACGGCAACATAAACTCATAATTTTCATTGGTTGATTTTATAGGCGCCTTTTTTTAGAAACATGAAACTTGACAAATAAGATAAAAAAAACTTAGGTAGCAATCTCTGATTTTATATTCCTTTCTATAATAAAATAAAGTAATGTTTTTTTTAAAAAAAATTATTTTATGTTAAAACTTTTTTATTATAAAAATATAAAGAAATTTTTCCTTTAAAACATCCCTCTTCTTTTAATCAGTGCAGTAGCATAGGAGGCAAAGCACTCCCTCAAATCTGTCATTACGGCCCCAAAATTTTTAAAAGCTTCGATTATTATGTATTACTTAAAAAAAAGATCCTCAAATTTAGTAAAGGACCCTTTAAAATTTGAAAAAGGTTCCCTAATTTTGCTGCCTTCCCGTTACCCGGATTAAGGGAGCCGTTTTAGCAGCCTAGTAATGGCTCTGCTTTTAAGATATTTCTTCAATTAAAATATTCCAACCTGTTGGGGTAATTATTTTTATAAACAATATAGACTTAATAACGTCTTCAGGTAATTAAATTGTTTCTCCCACTTTTAGAATCTGACTCATTTAGCAACATTTAACTTTAGCTTCCAAACTCGGCTAAGAATAAAAATTAAATACTCCAATTAGGGATAGCAATCCCGGGATCTTATAATCCGAGGATTAGTCTCCGAAATTTCCCGGGATTTCGAGATTGTCAAAAAAAAGGAAAAGTTAATAAAGTTTAAGCTTATAATTGTAGTTTAGTAATTTTTATATCGTCTTTGGTATAGTAGCTGTTTGCTTGTGTATTTATTCTCTTTGCAATGTTTTCCTTTTAGAACTCTCTTTTTCTGTATTTTACTAAAAAAAAAACTCAAAACATTATTGCTTGTCTGCAAAATGTATATATGTTTATATATATCTATATGTTTATATCTATATGTTTATATCTATGTTTATATATATGTTTATATATATATATATATATATATATATATATATATATATATATATATATATATATATATATATATATATATATATATATATATATATATATATATATATATATATATATATATATATATATATATATATATAGTTCTAATTGCATGCTTTTGTTAAATAAATAGTTTTTTTATTTTATTTTTATTTGTACTACACCAAGCAATGTTTGCATAATTAAGATGGTAATGAATGAACAAGAAATATAAAAGCTTTAAGCAAATTGGATTTAAAAAAGGCTTAGCTCTGCATAGCAGGCCTATGTTCCTTGAGATTGTATTTTCGAAATATTGTATGTGGTCTCTCCACGTTACATTTTCATCAAGAAGCACGCCGAGAAAATTTAACGTGGTTTCTCTTTTTATGTCCTGATTGGCAATACAAAATTTTGGAAGTTTTAAAGGAATTTTATCTCGGCCATGAAAACGATGGAAAAAAGTATATTTTATTTTGGTTACATTTAGAAATAACTTGTTTGTATTATTCAGTAACCATTCAGTCACCGACAAGGAAGTGCTTCGATATTATAGGGGCCAGCATATTTAACAGAGTTGTCTCCTAATATATCCATCGTGTTATGCCATTAGCATATTCTACTCAAGCAGTGGAAGAGGAACCAAAACTAATTTTATTAAATAAATTATAAAGTGGTTGTAAATATAAAGGCAAAATTGTTCAACTGTTATTGAGTTTAAATAATAATTAATAATAATAAAA